AAGGATTGGACTTTGTCCATTTGTGGCTATGTAGTGACTCTAGGCTGATTCCTCTTTTGACTCCACCCTCAGGTTCTACCACCCCTTCCCCTACACCAGAGGTAGCCAACCTTGGCTCTTTTATGACTCGTGGACTTCAACTCCCAGAATTCCTGAGCCAGCCATGGTGAGGGGAAAGGGAGAGGTTTCCAAGCTGAGCCATGCTGACACAGAAATTCTGGGAGTTGAAGTCCATGAGTCATGAAGGGGCCATAGTTCCCCCATGCTGGCTCAGGAATTCTGGGAATTGAAGTCCACGAGTCATAAAAGAGCCAAGGTTGCCTACCCCTGCCCTACACCTTCCTAACTGTGTTTTACTCAGGGGGATGTAGTAATTGAAGCTATAGATTCAGATTCTCCACATTGAAATCAGAAGTTTGATGTAATCTGCAAAACCAGAGACGGTGAGTTGAACAAATTCCTGCTCGATTGACTAATCCTGTTTTATTTGCTTTGGATTTTTGATGCTGAAATTTTTCCACCAGCGGGGCAGGGAGCAGCCGGTTTTTTACTTGAAATGAAATCTTCCTCCTGTCTATCCATGATGCTGAGCATCTTTTGATATTTGCTGCAGAGGTTGGGTGGATAGCTTCATGTGGACAATTTAGGGAAGGGTTTCAGGAAAAGTGGAAAGAGAGAGAGAGAGAGAGAGAGAGAGTGCATAAAGAGAGAAGGGTGGAGTTGCCTATTTATCTGGAAATTGGGCCTTTTTTTTCAGGCAAAGGGTGATGGGTTGGGATATAATCATGCTTTAAAAGGAGAAGCAAAAAGATGACGTTATCCCTAGTTCATCCTTTTTTTCCTGCTCTTTTTTCTTCATCTTTTTCAAAAGTTTGTCCATTGCAGGTCAAACTTTCAAAGCCGAGTCTGCCGTCTTGGGAGAAAGTGAATTTTGAGGATTATTGGTACGAACATTGAAGCGTTTCTTCTGATATTCCCCTGCAAGCTCATTTCTCAGGCTGATGTGTGAGTTGTAAGATTGGAATTATACATGCTGGGATGAAATGGGAAGGTCACAAGACAGGGGAGAAATGTCTGTTTTTATGAACGGGAAAATCTTGGTCGAAGTATTACACTCGGCACCCCAGGAAATGAAGGGAGACAAATGTAGAGAAAAGGAATGAGTTTATATAGCAATGAAAGAAAAAAGACCTTTTCATCGACAGAGACAGGATTATAAATGTCTCCAAACTTGACCTGAATGAAAATTTGTGCATCAGAAAAACACTTGAGATTCAAAAGCGATGCGACTCGTTATTTATTTTTTTCAAATAACTGCTTGATGATGTTCCAAGCTAAGGCGATGGCTTTAAATATTTATTTATTAGACGAAGGAACATCGGTAGTTCCTTCGTATTGGCATAAAGCAGAGCGAGAGTTTTCCGCCTCCGTGAACTGCAGGTAAATGATTCTGGCACATTTGCTTGGATGCAGGATTTGTTCTGGCTCCACCCGTGTCAAAATTTGATTCCTTTGATTCCTTTGCAAGATTATTGGTGGGGCAAAATTGGAAGAAAAACTCTTTGCCTACTACGGAATGGATAATTAAGGTGTCTAACCTAGCAGAAATGGCGAAAATTTCCGTTTATTTGAAAGACCATTCACAAGAAAAATACATTTCGGTCTGGAGAAGATGGATTGATTACATTCAAAAGAAATATGAGACTGAAAAGTATTATCTTGCTTACGAGTAGATTTTAGGTTACTATTAATAGTTTAATATGGTTGAATTTATACTATTTTTAGTGTTATGGTTTAACTCAGTGGTTCTCAACCTTTTTAATGCCATGACCCCCAACCGGTCGTAAGTCGAGGACTACTCAACCGGTCTTAAGTCGAGGACTACTCAACTGGTGCAGCACCGTTTGCAGAATGGGACTTTTGGCGGGCTCAGCAGGGCAGAGACAGCCTGGACAATTCCTATTGGCTTTTGAAAGCCAATAGAATTAGACTCTATTCAAGAGAGTCTATTCTATTGGCTTTCCAAAGCCAATAGAATAACAGGGAGTAGCACAGCTAAGGAAAAGGGGGAAAAATGGCGAACTGCGTTGTTTGGCGACCCCCGTGAAATGGTCGTTTGACCCCAAATGGGGTCCCGACCCACAGGTTGAGAACCACTGGTTTAACTGTATTTTTATTTTTATTTTTAATTTGCTAATATTTGTTTTGAAAAAGGAGTTAAAGTATGTTATGGATTTGATTGTTAGTAGAGTTGGGTAATGTTAGTTAGATTATGATTGTTTATTTGTAACCCTGTAATCAGCTCTGGGAAGTGGGGGAGGGGGGAGTGTTTTGGGTTATATATTGTAAACATTTCTAAAACTTTTAATGAAAAAAAAAATTTGATTCCTGAATTAATGACTGGAATGGCTTGCCTTCAAAAGTGGGTGCTGCATTATCGGAGGTTTTTAAGAAGAGACTGGACAGCCACTTGTCTGAAAAGGTATAGGGCAGTGGTTCTCAACCTTTCTAATGCCGTGACCCCATAATACAGTTCCCCATGTTGTGGTGACCCCCAAGTGGGTGTGGCCACCAATAAGAGGGAGTAGGACAGCTAGGGAAAAGGGAACAAAATGGTGGACAGCATGGTTTGGCAACCCCCATGAAATGGTCGTTCGACCCCAAATGGGGTCCCGACCCACAGGTTGAGAACCACTGGTATAGGGTCTCTTGCTTGAGCAGGGGGTTGGACTGGAAGACCCCCAAGGTCTCTTACAAGTCTGTTCTGTATTTGTTTTTCCTAACAGATTCTGTGAAGCTCCAGAAATCAAAAGACGCTGCAGTGCTAATGGATCACTCAACCGTACAAATATGATTAACTTTGATCCTGACCGGCTCAAGGTGGACTCAGCCTTGAGGAACGATGCCAGGGCATTCGGAGCAAAAGAACCGATGGAAGAATTGCACAGTGAAGTAGTCAGGAAGAAAAGAAAGCTAGGTAAAGAAAAAAAAAGTCGCAATTTTTTTTAGATGCAGACCATGGCAAGGATCCAAACAGTTTCTCCCTTTCGTTCCCAATTGCAGGGAATGAAAAAGGAGTCTGTTGCCTTTGCAGAGCCTGGATGTCTGTCTGTCTGTCTGTCTGTCTGTCTGTCTGTCTGTCTGTCTGTCTACCTACCTACCTACCTATCTATCTACATCTATCTATCATCATCCATCTATCATCATCTTCTTTGTCTATTGTCTGTCTGTCTGTCTGTCTGTCTGTCTGTCTGTCTGTCTGTCTGTATCCAGGGCTTTTTTGTCATAGAACACCCAGAACGGAGTTCCGGCACCTTTTTTGGATGGAACCTTGTAGGGTAGGCAAGATGGGTTATATGATGTGTGTGAGTTCCGGCACCTTTTTTTTTTTAAAGAAAAAAAGCACTGTCTATATCTATATCTATATCTATATCTATATCTATATCTGTCTATCATCTATCTATCTATCTATCTATCTATCTATCTATCTATCTATCTATCTATCTATCTATCTATCTATCTATCTATATCTCTATCTCTATATCTATATCTATATCTATATCTATCTATCTATCTATTTATCTATCTCTATCTATCTATCTATCTATCTCTATATCTATATATCTATATCTATATCTATATATCTATATATCTATCTATTTATATCTATCTCTATCTATCTATCTATCTATCTCTATCTATCTATCTCTATCTCTATATATCTATCTATATCTATCTATCTCTATCTCTATCTCTATCTATCTATCTATCTATCTATCTATCTATCTATCTATTTATCTATCTATCTATATCTCTATCTCTCTCTCTCTCTCTCTCTCTCTCTATCTATCTATCTCTATATCTATCTCTATCTATCTATCTATCTATCTATCTATCTATCTATCTATCTATCTATCTATCTATCTATCTATCTATCTATCTATCTATCTATCTATCTATCTATCTGCTGCCTCCCAGGAACTGAATAGCATGTTCCGTTAAAAGCTGGACCAAATATCAGCTCTTAACTGATCAAGCCATTCAGTTCGTGGGAGGCAGCCAAAAGAGATTTCACCTTTCTGAGAATCTGTCTCTGGCCTGTTTTTCTTCAGTGCAGCCGCAAAGAGGCTGGAAGCAACAAGAAGGGAAGGCTGAGGAATTGTACCGAGAGAAATCCTTGGCTCCTTGAGTCATCCCTTTGGGGGTTTATTCCCACAAAAAGTCTTTGGGAAAGGGGAAAGTTGTCAGATGTGACCCAGGCCCAAGACACCTCAGCATTTACCAGCTGCCTAGCATAGCCCTGCGGGGAGATAGGCAGCAAATACATTTAAAAATAAATAAATAAAAATAAGAAATAAATAAATTCACAGCCTCCTGCGTTTCTTCCCCAAAACAATTCTCCAGCTAAGGCAGAAAAGATTTGTCTCACATCGCCCTTCCTTCCTTCCTTCCTTCCTTCCTTCCTTCCTTCCTTCCTTCCTTCCTTCCTTCCTTCCTTCCTTCCTTCCTTCCTTCCTCTTTCCTCCCTTCCTCCTTTCTTTCTTCCTTCCTTCCTTCCTTCCTTCCTTCCTTCCTTCCTTCCTTCCTTCCTTCCTTCCTTCCTTCCTCTTTCCTCTCCCTCCCTCCCTCCCTCCCTTCTTTCTTTCTTTCTTTCTTTCTTTCTTTCTTTCTTTCTTTCTTTCTTTCTTTCTCCTCCCTCCCTCCCTCCCTCCTTTCTTTCTTTCTTTCTTTCTTTCTTTCTTTCTTTCTTTCTTTCTTTCCTTCCTTCCTTCCTTCCTCCCTCCCTTCTTTCTTTCTTCTCCTTCCTTCCTTCCTTCCTTCCTTCCTTCCTTCCTTCCTTCCTTTCTTCCTTCCTTCCTTCCACGAGAGAGCCTCCCCCCACCCTTTGCCTGCTCTGACCTCAAGAGCCTCACTCTGCAAGGTCACACAAACACAGGTGTGTCCAATGCCAGGGACCGCAGAGCTGCCCGCCCGTCAAGAAGGGACATCGTTCAACCTACCTACGTACATCACCCCTTCCTTGGTCTTCTCGGCTGCTTCGGTGACCCCCTGCTTGGTCTTCTCAGCGGCGGCCACCACTCCCTCCTTCGCAATGGAGAAGCCCTTTTTAAAGACATCCATGGCGCCCCGACTGGCTGGTTGGTCTCCTTGGCAAGAGCCTTGCAGAGGATGGGGATTTTCTGCCTGCTGTGTGCAGCCTCCCCTCCTGAAGACACTCCTGGTCTTCCTTCTCCGTCAGATGCCAGCAGCAGGGCTGGGCGACTCGCTCCGTCCTTGCTGGCTCTTATTCAGGCAACACATCAGAGGGCAGCCAATGCCTGCAAGAGACGGATGCTGAAATATTAATGGTCTGGATTTGCCTGTGAGATTTTTAGAGAGGGAAGCAGCAGAGAAAGGGGGGGGAGGAGGAGGAGGAGGTTTGGAAAAGCTCCAGAAGATGTTTAGATGTCCTTTGTGGAGCCGCTGCAATGCTTGCTCAAGGTCGCACATTCTACAAACCTTTTCAGCAGCAGAGGAAGCGTTTAGCTGCCCAAAGCTTTTTCATTTCTTCACAAATATCTCCCAGGAAGGCAAATAGGAGATCAAAGGGGGATGGGGGAAGAGAGAGAGAGAGAGAGAGAGAGAGAGAGAGAGAGAGAGAGAGAGAGAAGACTGGAAGCCACCCAACCGTCACACCTTTCAATGAGGGTTTAATCTAGCCAGCCTTTTGCTGCAAGGTAGCGCTTTGCAAACCTCAAACAAATAAGAGTGATCCGAAATAACTTTGGTTAAGTGTTTGTGTGTGTGTGTGTGTGCACACGTATGCATGTATGTATGCATAGAGAATAAATTACTATGTAAAGAAAAGGAATGGGCAATCGAGTTTTTTTTTTTTTGTTGTGCTTAAAGGAAAAAAAAATCTATATTATAAAGATGCCTTTCTTTTCCTTTGCACAGTTACTTATCATTTTGTCTGAAAAATATCAGCTCTCCCAAGAAAATCTGGGGAGTGTGGCTTAACTCAAATAAACCTCTTACCTTATTACTGGAGCAGACGCTAGGACAAGTAGCCATCCAGCATGACTGCAAGCCATTTGGAAACATCGTCCTGGTCTAGAATTTTGCAGAAAAGCTTATTGAGGCAGACACACACACACACACACACACACACACACACAGAGAGAGAGAGAGAGAGAGAGAGAGAGAGAGAGAATGCTTTTGTATAACTTCATTCAGTAAAGGATGGCTTACTGTTTAGTCCCATTTTATTTATTTATTTATTTATTTCAGTATTTATATTTTAGATGGAAGATCAAATAATTCAGTACAAATGACAAGGAGAGCCAGGTTTTCTACAAAAAAAAAAAAAAAAACAACAAAAAAAACCCCAGGTGTGATAAAGAGAAAGAATACAATCCTTATGCAAGCAAGTGCCTCCCAGTAAATTTATGTGATTAATTGATTGGTTTTATGCCATCCAGTCAGGGTTGACTCTTACTGATCAGATAGATTTTTCTCCAGGAAAATATTGTTGTTGCTGTTGTTAGTTGCGAAGTCGTGTCTGACCACCCATCGCGACCCCATGGACAACGTTCCTCCAGGCCTTCCTGTCCTCTACCATCTTCTGGAGTCCATTGAAGCTCAGGCCTACTGCTTCAGGGACTCCATCCAGCCACCTCATTCTCTGTCGTCCCCTTCTTCTCTTGCCCTCCATCTTTCCCAGCATTAGACTCTTCTCCAGTGAGTCCTTCCTTCTCATTAGGTGGCCAAAGTACTTGGGTTTCAACTCCAGGATCCGGCCTTCTAAAGAGCAGTCGGGGTTGATCTCCTCTAGGACTGACCGGTTTGATTGCCTTGCAGTCCAGGGGACTCACAGGAGTCTTCCCCAGCACCATAGTTGTTCAAAGGCCTCCATTCTTTGGCGCTCGGCCTTTCTTATGGTCCAACTTTCACAGCCGTACATTGCAACTTGGAAAACCACGGCCTTGACTACACGTACTTTTGTTGGCAGGGGGATATCTCTGCTTTTTAGCATGCTGGCAAGATAGGCAAGGCAAATACTATGCTAAAACTTGCATGCTATTGTACGAAGAGGCTTTTGCATTATTGAGATGCCCCCTGGAACTGGACTTGCCCCGTTATAGCAGAGAGAAACTATGGAGAAAAACTGGTACCAGAGAAAAACTGTTTCGACGCTAGATAAATACAGCCAAACCATTTTTTTTAAAAATGCAGATTGGGAAAAAGAACTGCCTCCCCTCCCCCCAAAAAATGCTTACAAGGGGTAAAAAAAAATCAGATCAACTATTTCCCTCCTTTAAATGATAGCATCTCCCTGGAGAAAGAGGAAGGACTTAGAGCACCCACTTGAGTTCCCACAGAATGTTTGTCTTCATATTTGCCCTTGAAAAGGCAGGTTGTTGGCAGCCTTGCAAGGAAAAGGCAACCCTTTCATCATACTTGAGACCTGGTCCATAGCAATAAATCAATTACTGCAATGCAGCATAAATCAATGTTTATGTCAACGCTGCAAATATTGTATATTCTTGCTTTTGACAATATGCAGAATTGTCTGGAAATATGGGGTTAATAAAGAGCAGAAGGGGCGTTGGGGGTAAAGCCCGGGAAAGAAAGAGGAAGAAAACATTTGACCTTCATACTAATTGGATAGTGTGAGATATGACAGCTAATTTAGGGAGGGAATATGCTGATAATTTAACTGCTCAGAGGAAGAGAACTTAGATCCTAGCATCCCTCCGTTGTGCCTGTGCCGACATTTTGTAACAATAAAAGACTTTTAGGAAAATAAATGCCTGGAAGTTCTTTGGAATGTTTCATTAGCCGGAACCACAACAGTTTTATTTAGTCATTTCAGGGATGATCAGGGTGGATTCCCCGCCTATACTATACCTGTGCATTTGGTTTTTCTTGCCTAAATGTAGAACCTTACTTTTTTCACCACCGAATTTCATTTTGTTAGATAGCGCCCAGTGTTCAAGTCTGTCCAGGTCCTCCTGTATCCTAAGCCTGTCTTCTGGAGCGTTGGCTATTCCTGCCAGCTTGGTGTCATCTGCAAATTTGATGAGTTCCCCATCTATCCCCTTGTCCAAATCGTTGATGAAGATGTTGAAGAGCACTGGGCCCAGAACAGAGCCCTGGGGCACCCCATTACACACTTCCTCCATGTAGATGCAATTCCATTGAGGACCACATGCTGAGTACAGCCGGTCCAAAGCTAAACTTGATTTTTGAGGACCACGTGAAAGCGTTCCCCATTGCTACCTTCCAGGCTAGCCTTGAGTCCCCACATTAACAAGGATTAAGTGACTCTATCCCATAAAAAAGAATCTGGGTAAGATTCAGATTATTAGGGAATCCTGTTCCAACATCGATCTGCTTCCAGAATGGAGGATCTCAAGCAGGAAGTGAAGACATCTTTGAAGTTCAGATCTCAGAGGCTTCTGGGGATGGTTGATCTATTTTTGGGTAAGTCTATGCGTGCATATAAGAAGAGGATGTTTACTTCCTAAAGCAACTTACGCTGGATTTTCTATAAAACCTAATTATAGAAATTATATTTTGCTTTCCTTCCACGACTGGAGGAAAAGAGCTAAGAGTTTGTTGAATTAAGAAAACATATTTGAGGATGTGTAAGGCAAGGCACCTGATGCAGTACCCACCTTCCTGAGTTAAAGTCATATCTGAGCATTGAAAGGAAATAAAACTATAAATAATTTTTTTAAAAAATAAAACTTAGCATTTATTTAAAGAGGGATGTGTTAAAGAAAGATATTGGAAGACTGCTATCATGTCCCCCCTCGTCCTTCTCTTCATTAAACTAGACATACCCAATTCCAGCAGTTGTTCTTCATATGTTTTAGCCTCCAGTCCACAAATCATCTTTGTTGCTCTTCTCTGCACTCTTTCTAGAGTCTCTCAACATAATAATAATAATAATAATAATAATAATAATAATAATAATAATAATAATAATAATAATAATAATATCTGTAATACCATCAAACATCCACATCTGCCTATCCCAGGTCCTGGGTAAGGACTCGATAGGTAGACAAAATGCCAAATCCAGTCTGAACATCTGGCTGACTGTGCGATGATCAATAATAATAATAATAAAAATTTGGAAGATACCTTGGAGGTCATCTAGTTCAACCCCCTGTTCAGGCAGGAAACCCTATACCACTTCAGACAAATGGTTGTCCAGTCTCTTCTTAAAAACTTCCAGTGTTGGAGTATTCACCGCTTCTGGAGGCAGGTTGTTCCACTGGTTAATTGTTCTCACTGTCAGGAAGTTTCTCCTTAGTTCTAGGTTGCTTCTCTCCTTGATGAGTTTCCACCCGTTGCTTCTTGTCCTGCCTTCAGGTGCTTTGGAGAATAGCTTGACTCCCTCTTCTTTGGGGCAGCCCCTGAGATATTGGAACACTCCTATCTTGTCCCCCCTCATCCTTCTCTTCATTAAACTAGACATACCCAATTCCAGCATCCTTTCCTTATATGTTTTAGCCTCCAGTCCCCTAATCATCTTTGTTGCTCTTCTCTGTACTCTTTCTAGAGTCTCAACTTCCTTTTTACATCGTGGTGACCAAAACTGGATGCAGTATTCCAGGTGTGGCCTTACCAAGGCATTGTAAAGTGGTATTAATACTTCATGTGATCTTGATTCTATCCCTCTGTTAATGCAGCCTAGCATTGTGTTGGCTTTTTTGGCAGCTGCAGCACATGGCTGGCTCATATTTAAGTGATTGTCTACGAGGACTCCGAGGTCCCTCTCACAGTTACTACTATTGGAGCAAGGTACCCCCTATACTATACCTGTACATTTGGTTTTTCTTGCCTAAACGTAGAACCTTGCTTTTTTCAACATTGAATTTCATTTTGTTAGATAGCGCCCAATGTTCAAGTCTATCCAGATCCTCCTGAATCTTCACTCACTTTAGAGAGGTAGACTTGCTTTGTAAGTCCCAGTTGCCAAGTGTCAGGATATTTTACGACATTCATCTTGGGAATCTGCTCCAGCCCTCAATATTTACTTTTCCTTGCCTGCTAGTTAAAGTTAACATCCTTTTCCTGTATCCCGGCATGAAGGCAGCTGATAAAAAAAAGGCTGTGCTGTTCTGGGTTTGCTGATAAGTTGAAAGGAAAGTCCAAAAGTGAGATTTGCCCCCTTGAATCAACCGTGGCTCCTTCCCTATAGTTCACATACATACATCGCCCACATGGAGGTCCTCTGCGCTCTTTCACATTGTCATCTGACCTCTGACATTTCCACCAGAGCTGGGAGGGCCAACATTATACGTTTCCGCCCTTTGTTAGCAGTGCCATTCCTTGTTCCAAGCTTTAGTTAAAGGAAAGAGGCAAGGCACGTTGTAGGGACGGAGTGATTTGAAGGCCAGTGAGGTCTCAAGACGGTTTGAGAAGGACTGAAGATGCTGACTACAATCTTATTGCTTTGTGGGACTGTGGGGCTGCTGAAATCAGAGCCACATTCAAGGTATCCTGGTCATCACCATCAGAGGCAAGGGCCAGAAGCTCCTCAGATGCCTGCACCTCCACAACCATCTTCTCCAGCTGAAGAATTCTGGACAAGAGAGTCCACCCAAGATGAAACGGAGCCAGAGATGGAGGAGTCTTACCCTGCAAGTCAGGAAGCCAGAAATGAGTAAGTATTTTCCAAAAAAGAATCTGTATTGTACCAATCTGCAATTATTGCAATAGTAATGGTATAGGTTCTCCTGCTTGAGTAGGGGGCTGGAGTAGAAGACCTCCAAGGTCCCTTCCAGCTCCTATTCTATTCTATTCTATTCTATTCTATTCTATTCTATTCTATTCTATTCTATTCCATTCCATTCCATTCCATTCCATTCCATTCCATTCCATTCCATTCTATTCTATTCTATTCTATTCTATTCTATTCTATTCTATTCTATTCTATATTCTATTCTATTCTAATTCTATATTCTATTCTATTTTATTCATTCTGAATTCTATTCTATTCTACTCTATTCTATTCCATTCCATTTAATTCTGTTCTGTTCTATTCTATTCTATTCTATTCTATTCTATTCTATTCTATTCTATTCTATTTCCATATTCTATTCTATTTTATTCATTCTGAATTCTATTCTATTCTATTCTAATTCTATATTCTATTTTAATCATTCTGAATTCTATTCTATTCTATTCTATATTCTATTCTATTCTAATTCTATATTCTATTCTATTCTATTTTATTCATTCTGAATTCTATTCTATTCTACTCTATTCTATTCCATTCCATTTAATTCTATTCTATTCTATTCTATTCTATTCTATTCTATTCTATTCTATTCTATTCTATTCTATTTCCATATTCTATTCTATTTTATTCATTCTGAATTCTATTCTATTCTATTCTATTCTATTCTATTCTATTCTATTCTATTCTATTCTATTCTATTCTATTCTATTCTATTCTATTCTACTCTACTCTACTCTACTCTACTCTATTCACTCCCAACAATTCTTGGTGCACTCTTCTTGGCCAAAAGATTGGGGCCAGTTAGAGAATTAACTAGGAAGTCAGAGGTCTTAGTGGCAAGCAACAAATCTCCTGGAGAGTGGATCTTAGCAGGCATTTAATGGCTAAAAAAAAATGATAGGAGCTATGGAACCACCTTCTTCATTTCCTAGGACACTAGGAGCCCATCATTCTGCATTTCCAGAACTAAAGGATAGAGAAGGAAAGTTGTGCAGAGTTATCTTCAAGGCTCCTAAAATTTACACATTTGAGACAGATTCTGAGCACATCCTAGCTGATAAAATAGAAAAATCTTGAGGAAACATGGATTAATGTTTTATAAGACACTTCATTGCCAGGCTACTCTTGGGAAACAACCAACTCCTTTGTATTTACGGTCTGGGGTGCTAATGCTTTGGTGACTTCGCTTTCGGAAGTATGAATTCTTACAACCAAATTCTTGATGGATATAATGGGCAAAACCAGGGACAGATTATTTGCTGTTTTATGGTCTTTTTTTTTTAATTCACTCTTCCATAAGGTTACAATTTTCCTATGGCCAGTTTTGTCAACCCAATGTTTTGCGGCAGCACTTCAAACCTTGGTATGATCCTATCACTCCTGTTTCATGAGTTGCAGTAGTTGACAATAACCTTTGTAATTGGTTGTAATTCATGGGTTTTGTCATCCTCTATGAAACTCTACATGGCTAGGTCCCAGCTACTTGAGGAATCATATATTTCCTTTGGTTGCTGCCCAGCCTAAGTGATCCAACAGAGTCATCTGGGTACCAACTGGGTCATCTGATGGGATCCCCACCGCCCTTCAAGATTTGAATAGGGTCTACTCTGTTCTACTTCAAGAAGGGCTTCCATTGAAGGGCTGACATCATTCAGCCCTTCAGTGTCGGCCAGGCCAGGAAATAGAGACCACACGTGTCTATATTTATACAGGCTACATCTCAAAAGCTTGACACACTTTCTCCTTTTTTACTTCTATCCAAGGGAGTCAAGGTGGGGCAATCTTGAGGTTTTTTCCTACATGTCCATGGAGATTCTCAGTCATGGTTGTCCCAAAGGGACAAAATTCCACTTAGGGTTAGGGTTAGGTCATCATGAACTCAGAGAGCAAAATGGACATCGCCAACAAATTCGGAGTGTTTGGTAATGGTTAGGAGGGCACTGACCTTTCTAGCCTGCCCTATGTTTTCTGGTAACGTGGGAAAATGCCATTGGAGGAAAATTCCACTTAGGGTTAGGGTTAGGTCACCTTGAACTCATAGAGCAAAATGGACATAGCCGAAAGCTTTGGAGTGGTTGGTTATGGTTAGGAGGCACTTACTTTTCTAGCCTGCCCTATCTATGTTTCCTGGTAAAATACATGGGAAACTCCCATTGGAGGAAAATTCCACTAAGAGTTAGGGTTAGCTCACCATGAACCCATAAATTAAAATGGACATCGCCAACAAATTTGGAGTGCTTGGGTATGATTAGGAAGGCATTGACTTTTCTAGGCTGTTCTATCTGTGTTTCCTGGTAAAAGCCAACTGGACTTTCTTGGTTGATTTCTCTTCTCATTGAACAAGTTTCTTCAATTCTGCTTTCTTTCTCACACTTCTTTTTTCTCTCTCCTGAATGATGGTTGTGTTGTCCTGACAGTTGCTGCATCTTTTCTTTGATGTCATCTGCTGGACTTTCCTCAGAGCACCATGATTCCCTGGGATCATTTCTTTCTCCTCTTGCAAACCTCATCATTTCCTTTTAGGTATCTGCAAAAAAATCAAAATTCATTCCCAATATCTCATCTTGTCTGATCTCTAAATTATTATTCAGTATAATTGTTGCCCTTGACGTTAACCTGTGTGGTTCTTTGCAATTTTTTTTTGCAATTTGCAGCATTAAAAAAAGCTCAAGGTTGTTTTTTATTATTATTATTTATTCATTTCTGATGACAAAAGTTGCCTTTCTCTGTGCAGTAATCAAAGAAGCTATAATTAATGGTATCGTCTGGCTGTGAAGTTCTTTACAGGTTTTCATGATTAAATAGTCCCAAGGAGACATTTTATTCAGGCACTGCTTATTCCAAATGCCTATCCTTCTGCATACATAAAATCTAAGCAGCTAAACAATCAACACATGAGCAATGACAGTAACTTTAACCATCCATACCATCTTCTGAAGCATCTTTTCCACAATCTATCGCCTTCCAAATTATGGTTCTCATCAATGGCGAAAAAAGCAAGGTTCTACATTTAGGCAAGAAAAACCAAATGCACAGGTATAATATAGGGGGTATCTTGCTCAATAGTAGCAACTGTGAGAGGGATCTCAGAGTCCTAGTGGACAATCACTGAAATATGAGCCAGCCGTGTGCTGCAGCTGCCAAAAAAGCCAACACAGTGCTGGGCTGCATTAACAGAGGGATAGAATCAAGATCATGTGAAGTATTAATACCACTTTAAAAGGCCTTGGTAAGGCCACACTGGAATATGGCATCCAGTTTTGGTCACCACGATGTAAAAAAGATGTTGAGACTCTAGAAAGAGTACAGAGAAGAGCAACAAAGATGATTAGGGAACTGGAGGCTAAAACATATAAGGAACAGTTGCTGGAATTGGGTATGTCTAGTTTAATGAAGAGAAGGATGAGGGGGGACATGATAGCAGTGCTTCCAATATCTCAGGGGCTGCCCCAAAGAAGAGGGAGTCAATCTATTATCGAAAGCGCCTGAAGGCAGGACAAGAAACAACGGATGGAAACTAATCAAGGAGAGAAGTAACCTGGAACTAAGGAGAAACTTCCTGACAGTTAGAACAATTAACCAGTGGAACAACCTGCCTCCAGAAGTGGTGAATGCTCCAACACTGGAAGTTTTTAAGAAGAGACTGGACAGCCATTTGTCCGAAATGGTATACGGTTTCCTACCTGAGCAGGGGGTTGGACTAGATGACCTCCAAGGTCCCTTCCAACTTAACTACTACTACTACTATTACTACTTCTACTACTACTACTATTATCATTACTATTATTATTATTATCTCCAGCCCACATGGTTAGCAAGCATGGAGACTGTGGTCCAAAGCCACAATGGGTGCCAGCTTGAGGAAGACTAATGGAAACTGCCTTGCTTGCCTTTAAATGGTCTCTTGTCCCAAAGGTGTTTTTTTCATGACTTTGGACTTTCTTTTTTCTCTTTGAGGACATTTCGCTTCTCATCCAAGAAGCTTCTTCAGCTCTGACTAGATGGGTGAGGAACCCTTGGATGAAAAGTGAAACGTCTTCAACGAGAAAAAAAGATAGTCCGGTTGTTTCGTGAAAAAGCACCTTTGGGGCAACCCTGATCTGGATGACTGAGAATGTCCCCAGACACGGGGTCTCTTATTGCTTGAAAGGCATATGCTCAGATCCAGCAAGGTGATCAAAGATGAAACTAGCCTTCTGATGGAGGACTCTGCCCTTTAGGACAGGCTTTTCAACCTTTTCACCCACTGTACCACTTTTAGGATATGGCACTATCCGAGTACCACCTAGCAAGGTGTCAAAAACTTGATGGCCCAAAAAAAAAAAGAAAAGAAAAAAGTGATAAAGTATAGGTTAGTGACTGTTCAAAGTTACAATGGCACTGAAAAAAGTGACCCCCCCCAAGCCACAGCCGAGCAAGACACCTGCCTGCCCTCCCGGCCACGCTCTTCCTCCTATCCAAGGTTTTCATTGTTGTGAGCATTTCTGTTGAGGATTGGCAGCGGGGGTGGGGTGGGGGTGTTTGGTTTTTATTCCCCCCATCTGCTGGGTGGTTGCAGCAGGTTTTGGTCACTTCACATAACCCTGGGACACTGTGACCGTCAGTTGCCAAGCATCTGAATGTAAATCACAAGAGCCTGGAGAGGCTGCAACATTCCAGCTGATCGGCACTTCTTCTGGGCTCAGCAGAAGTGCCAGGATCAGTGCCGCTTTCCAGCTGATCGGCACTTCTTCTGGGCTCAGCAGAAGCACCAGGATCAGCGCCAAGCTCCAGCTGGAGCCTGGCACTGATCCTGGCGCTTCCGCTGAGCCCTGACAGCCCTGCAGCTCCAGCCGTCTCTCGCTCAAGCTTGTGCGGTGCTGCCACCGGTTCAGCTCATTCCCCTCCCCCGCTACCACTTTTCTAGGATGGTCGCGTACCAC